ATATTTTGTAAAGATAATTTTTGAATAAAAAAATTATATCGTATAGATGTCAATTCGATATTTTCAAGATATCTCTGCGATATTTTGTAAAGATAATTTTTGAATCAAAAATTATATCACATAGATGTCAATTCAATATTTATTAAATATTGAATTGATATTTATTAAATATCAAATTGATATTTTTAAGATATCTCTGCGATATTTTATAAAGATAATTTTTGAATAAAAAATTATATCGCATAAATATTTATTCAATATTTATTAAATATCGAATCAATATTTTTTAGATAATAAAATTTATTGATTAAAATATATCGCGGCGATATTTATTTATAATTTAATAATATAATTTCGATAATTTATTATATTAAAGTAATATTAAATAGATATATTAAATTATTGGTTTGCTGTTATTTTGAGATATTAAGGCAATATCTTATTATATTAAAAAGTTATTCCAAAAATATCCTCGTGATATCTTTTTCATATAAAAATTTCAAGATATCTCAGGGATATTTTGGTGATATCTAGGTGATATCTTTTCGTTATCGAGGCGATATTCCTTAAAACCATTGATTTCAGCAAAGTATTAGAACCAATAAATCCCCAGTTACATAGAGAATATATTCAAGGATGGCTTAGATGTGATACCAGAGGAATAAGAGATGCTTATTTCAAAAAGCATGGAGTATATTGATCTGAATTATTTTATTTTTCATATATGAATTCAATTAGATTTGTAGTAGTAGATCTTATGTATTATCTATTTCTTGAAGTTGCCAAATGAATAATTCAATTCATATTTGTTAAAAAAAATAAGCTAAATTCTGAACAACTTCATATAGCACAAAGGAGGATAGATAGTATTTAACTTCCATTCGATATTGGTCAAATCTTGTCAAAGCTCACTATTGAAGAAGGATTTTTAAAACTCACTGCTAACCAATGGAAGACCTTCATTATGATATATACAACAACAATTCTATGGAACATGTTAGATGATAATGATAGAAAGATTTTAGGACATTTTATTCAGGTATGTAACTTATTGGTTACTAAATTTGTTACAAAAGATGATTTGCAAGAAGCACAAGAACAATTAAGGGATATGTTCATAAATATAGAAAGAACCTATGAACCTGAATTTATTATAAGTAATATCTATTTATTAATACATATTTCTAAATGCATATGGGATTATGGCTTCATTTATAACTTTTGACTATTCCCATATGATCAATTTAATAGATATATAGGTAAGCTATAGATATCGGATATATGAATTATAGTAAATAAAATTTTAATACAAATTTTTTATAGATTTTTATTCCAATAGTAATTAGTAGATCGAACCCAAGCTTATAAAAATAGTTCTCAAAAATTCACTTGTAGATTATCATTTTTCCTGTCAATAGACATTTGATCTCTTGAAAAAATTTCTTCAATTTCTTGCACTGAAGAAAGCTGCTGGTAACTTAGCTATAACTAATGAATTTGATAGAGAAGAGTTACAGTATTTCATCTTCTTGAGATATGATATATCCAATAAAATCTATGGCACTGAAAATATATCAGGACGAATGTTAACACCTTTATATAAAAAGGTAAGTATTCTATTGGAACTCTATAAAATATTATGCGAATGGTATGTAACATTATATAACAAAGAAAAAAAAAGATGTGAAAGCATATATGGAAGTGATTATGAATTAACATGCAAGATTAAAAATAGGTAATGAAATATTTGGATCCAAAGTCACAGGTCGACATGAAAATAATATAGTGATCTTAGTGAAATGGAATGCATTTAGAAATGGAACAAGTGATATTTATTCTGGAGAAATATAATATTACTTTGAACATACACTTATACTTCCAACGAAAGAACTTAAAATACATCTTCTAGTATATATCAAATGATATAAAAATATACCTTCCTCTAATATACGATTTAAATATAAGTTTATGACATTCGAAATATCGAATACAGAATTATGGAAAGAAGAATATTATGAGAAAGATCAAGATTCAATTATTACAGTATATAGAATATATGGTAGAGCCATTAAGATAAACTATCAAGTTGGAAATAGAAATAATTATATATCAATAATTCCATGAATAGAAGATTTAATGTTTAATTTATTCTTTTTTTTTATATTATAATAAAGACAATTTCAAATAGAAAACTTGAATTTTAAGTGTATACTGCATAAAGACAAATTAAGTTTAATTAAAATATAGTATCAAGGATCTGATAGATTATATAAAATTTAAAATAAAAAATTTTCTCATGTGCTCAATAAGAAAAAGAATATCGGTTTCTGATATATACTTTAAAAATATCGGGTTCACAATATTACTATAATATCGAACACCCTAAAGAATCTAAAAAATATTATACTTCCAATATTACTATTTATTATCATATATCTAATATTAATAAAATATTGGGTACTTGAGATTAAAACAAAATTTATCACATAACTATTGGGCACATTATAAAATTTACAAAAGTACTATTGGGTCCTTAAAAAAAAATGCAGATATCAGGCCTCCGATATATATAAAAATATTTTATGCGCCTGATAATTTCCCAATAATCACCTGATATTTGAAAATATCAGGGGGCCAATAGGTACCCAATAGATATCTGATATTCAAATTTAGACCTGTGTATATAGTAAGATATGTTAATAAATTACATGAAAAGTTTATAATTAAATATTTGGTTAGATTTATTTGTCCTAACTTTTCAACTATACAGAAATATTTTTGTTGACTAAATATTTGTTCATTATTTATTAATTTGAAATTTAATATTTATAAATTATGATAGTTTAATCAAATAATACTTTATTATAAAAATTACATTACTTAAATTAGTTCATAAAAATGGTATAAGGAAAGTTTGATTAAACTCTAGTATCTGTTCACAATACTCTAATCTCAATCTCCATACTTGCTTCAGTGGATATTATAGCAAGAAGGTTCTTCAACTTCGCGATAAGTCCATTTCTTGAAAGAATCAACTGTGATTTGACAATCTAGATAGTTCTCAGGAGTAGTGTGTCCTTTCGTCTTGAGGTCAAACATATATTTGGGGTCAGGAAATTCGTGGAATTCTTCATACTCTTCCTTGAGAGAAACTTAATTTTGGAATGAAATGTGAATAATTAGTCTGGCAGCCTCCAAAAAAACTTAATGAATTGGAGTCAACTATAATCATTGTCAGGTGAGTAGTAGGACAAATCATCCTCTAAAAATCAATTCTAATGATTTCAATATTTAATAATACTTGAAAAAAAGTGATGTACTCTCAATACCTTGTATCTGATTCTTGTTAGTTGGGTCCTTAGAGTTATTTTCTTCCAAAGAAGTGTTTTGATCAGTTTCAATCAAGTTTTGGTGATATTCATTGTCTCCCGTTATAAAACTGAACAATAAATTTCAAATTTAACCTGATTATCTTGTGTAACTTCACTATTATGTAGGTATAATTATTGACAAAAAGTTTAAAATATCTATCTTACGTAATTATAAAGTTTAATTACCAGATAAAATCCATATCTGGCTGTAGAATTTAATATATTGACCACAAAATGTACAAGCCATGGCCAATTGGCGATAAAGAAAATTAGAAATAAATTAGTCCATAATTATCCGAAGTTACCAAAGTTTTTCCAAGAGAAGAAATGTAAGTGTGTCTCACATAGATTTATTGATCCGCCGTCCAGCATTTGTTAATTCATCTTGTTGCAGTTTACCTCTCCAGATTGGGACGAAGGTTTCAGTGAAAGATTACAATACTTTTATTGACCGTAATAAATCAACCCGATACAAGTTTCTTTGGGATAACGGAATCGTATACAATGCCCAATCTAGAACACGAATCTGTTGTATCAATGCTTTTCAAATGTTTTGATAGGCCAAATAATGGTGTATTAAGAGGTCCGATACATATTGCAAGCTCACCGAGTAAGATTTTTCTTTTTAGCCCGCTTGATCTTTATCTTGTAATAACAATTTCATTTTTCCTATAGGTCATTATGATCCATCCAACCCTGCACTAAAAATCGAACCAGACCTTGCAATTTACCCACATATTGCTCACGTTCCAAAACCTACTGTTACGCATCCTGGTCCTCCTCCTAGCAATGCAAATGTACTTTGAGTTTTTACATATTTATTCTTGATTCATTTCTCTAATATCAATAATGTATTTATACAGGGTTTTCCTCACGTAAGAATAATCTGTGAGATAGCTGTAGCTCAAAGCACTCATGATTGGAGAGAAAATGTGAGAATTGGTTAAATGAACAATACGTTCGGTGCGTTTTTGGTATTAAATTACATAAAGTAAAGACTATAGATAGAACGGTTCATCGATCTATGACGGTATGTCTGTTTATAGCTATCTGATTTCATTATTTTATAGTTTTGTCCTAAGAGTTTTTTTTAAAATATTAGGCCAAGCTTTGGACCCGTCAAATATCAGTACCACCTGGAAGCACACCGACAAATCTACCAGGCGTATCAGTAAAAGAGGTAGGATTGATCTATTATTAGTATTTTGTGATCACTTAAAGTGTAATTTTTGCAATATTATAGTGGGATTTCGGCACTCTGCAATTTAATAGTGATAATGCTTCGGGTTGCATTGGTTGGGCATTCCTGCCTTTCAAGTTACTATTTCAGTATTCAACGTTTTTTGGAACCCCCTATTGTAGGTGGAACACTAAATGTTGATGACTATACCGTAGCGATCCCTAAAGTAATTACAATAATTTTAATAATTTTGTTGTTGATTTGTATGATATTCAACAAATGGTTTTGGAAACACAGAGACCGTAATTATCAGAGGTATATATAATAGAATGTCACTTCGTAGTTAAAAAATAATGCCTGGTGATTAACTTTGAAATATCAATTTATCTGTTACAATTTATTAGCTATTTCTATGGTATATATCATGTGGAAGAAACAATGTACGATCTCTCTCTTTTGAAAAATACAAAAAAAAAACACCTTTTTCTTCCCCTTCTTGTCTTCCCAATTTTTAATTAATTGTTCAAATTTAATTTGTTTGATCCGATCACTTTATAGTAATATTTTAACGCTAATACTGCCATGTAATCAATATTTGACCTACCTGATAATTTCTTATACTATCATTAAACTCTAATGTAAAGCATATAGCATTTGGCTATTATCAATAAATTTATGTGATCGGATTATAATTATCACAGATAAACAATAGATAGATTTGCACTAATTGAGATAATAAATTATTGGCGATCGTGAACCTAAAATTCTTCACACGTTACAATATTTTTTTGGATTATACATGTATCATTTTAAAATTAGCGATAGAATAATTAGATCAGTAATTTGCTAATAATTAACTAAATCATCTAAATGCTAATTCTATTATCAAATTTGTTAATTAAATCAATAAAGTAGTAATTGAATGTTACTTGTAATTTATTGGATAACATGGTGTAATCTTTCATTTGCTAATTCTTTATAAAAAGAGAAAAATTTTCTCTAGATGTAAAGGGATAACTTTGGAATAACTTTGTTAACAAATAAAAAAATATATAACTTATAAATAAATCGAATGTTATTATTGTTTTTAATATTATTTTTTTATGATGTGTTTCAATTTCTCAATCCAGGATGAAATTTGTCTTAGGAGTTATCACCTCTCCTTTGTAAAATAAAATAAAAAATGCACCTTTTTTTGTTAATTTTACCAAATCCCTTTTAAAAATTGAGTGGGCCAAGTGTATAGAAAAAAATAATTAAGCAGACAATAGGAAAAGATTTATTTTTCTTTTTTTTGAGATTCCCTAATATTAAATAGATTTAACTTAATAAATTATATTTGTACAAAAGTTACAAAAGTTTCATATTTACTTTTTACAAATCTTTTCATATATTGTGAATTTTCTGTATTATATCCGTTATAAGAAAGAGATTGTTAACAGTGTGTCAAAGTTTTTATTTAGTGGTGAAAGAAAGTACGTAGTATAATCCTTCTCCAGATTTAACAGACTTTACCAACAACAAAATTTGGGCGCCTGGCTTAAGAATAACCCTTAACACCAGTAATTCTCCAAAGTTAACCCCAGAGAAGAGAAAGAACGTTTACGGTGTCAATCCGCAGCCACGATGTGCTTTCAATTTCTCAACCCCAAGATAAATTTGTCTAGGGAGTTACCCTCTTTTGTAAAATAAAAAAAAAAACACACCTTTGTCAATCTCACCAAATCCATTTTAAAAAATCGGGTGGCATAAGTGTATAGAAAAAAATAATTAAGCAGTTAATAGGGAAAGGGTGTAAATAAATAAATAAATAAATAAAAATAACTTGCTAAAGAGATGAGCATATCATTATGATCTGCAGTTACGCAATCTGATGATAATCTCGGAGCAATAAACATAATCAGAATACTTTATCAACGCAACAAATATTTGCTTTACTTTTGTAATTGATAAGCTTTATAAACAGGATCTGTCTTGTTTAAATTTTGCAATAATTCTATTTCTACACATCTTCATTTGTCACTATAATAAATTAAAAATTAATTAAATAAATATATAAATTGAAAATAATAAATAATTCTATAATTCATCAATCGCTTTTTTTTTTATCAACTGGTATCTTATATCACATTTATCGCGAATTTCTGCAAAAAAGTTCACTGGGATCTTCAACTATAACATAAAACTAACAGGTTGACTTTATTGATATATGCGTTAATATATTAAAATGACGTAGCAAATGTACTTGGTTAAATTTGATATAAGAACAACGCAAAAAAAAAGTTCAAATTTATAATAATAAATAAAAATAAAAATAAATAAATAAATAAATAGAATCTAAATAAATCCTTCTAATAATAAATATTGATCTTCATTAATTATGAGTTCTATTTTATCTGATCATCAGAAGCGATTAATATTGTTCAACAGAATCCGGTGTTCTATCTTTATTCTCAACTGATTGTACTAGTGATAGGAACAATAGCTGAATTTACGTAACTGTCCAAAGAATCCGTTTGTATAATGTTCGTATCTAATATCTCATCATTTGCATTATTTACATTGGTTGCATCATCATTTATTACGGGAAGATCAGTGTTCTCAGTGTTTTCAGTGTTCGTTGAAGGTGGATCATTTTCTTGAATCGTATTCACTATATTCGCTACATTCGCTACATTCGCTACATTCGCTACATTCGCTACATTCATCACATTTGCCACATTTGCTACATTTGCTACATTCGCTTCTGGTTGGACAAAATTTATATCTAATGTATTTTCATTGGTAAAATCAAGTGGTTGAGCGATAATATTAGCTGAATTTATATTTCCTGTAGGTAAAACTGTAGTTGTGTCAGTTTGTTGAATAACATTCACGTCTGTAATTATATTTCTAGTTACATTAGTCGTAATATCCCCACTTTCTGTGACAATTTCTATTCCTTCATTAGTAGCTACCTCTGCTTGTACCGCAGTTTTTTCCTTTTCTTCCTTTTCTCTTTGTTTAGCTCTTGCAAATATTATCTAAGTTAATTATAAATTAATTTTTAAGTCAATTATGAAACATTAAAATTTGAATAAAAAACAAATCATGTCACATACTTTTGCATAATTTTCAATGTCAAATACAAAAGGTTTTTCCCCAAAATTCGCTATCACACTTTCATTTGAACTTTCCATACCGCACATGGGGATCATTTCTCCATCAAATTTATTTTTGCATGCGGTACCTTTTTTTGGGATGGGGAAAATATAAATTTGAAATAAATTAAATTAAATAAATAAATAATAAATAATAACAACTTTTAATTTACCTAGATTGATTCCATTTTTTGTAAAAAAAATCTCTTTGTCATAATAATTAATACCACAACCAACAGTTTCATCAGTTGTATAAAGAGGTCCAAATTTTATTCCGGTACCACGTTCACAATATAAATATCCATCATCTCCGTGATATCCTATTGTGTCACGTTCCCATCCTATTTAAAATATTTAAAATTTTAGTACATATGTTCAACTATTGAATTAATGACAAAGGACAAATATTGGATGTTGAATATACCTGGCATTCTGTTTAAACGTGTTCCAGGTTTACTTAAACCAATCCCGATACATCTATTATTCAAAATATTATTAACATTGAATTTGATACTCATCAAATATATATTATTTAATTTAGAAAAAAAAAAAAAACTTACCCTCTTTGTCCACAATTTGTGATCGTCATTTCGAAATAATATAAACCAACTTCTGACGGAATGAAACGATTTGATCTTATGCTAGCTGCATCGATCCAATTCCTGTTTCAAAATATATATATATATTAAATCATACAGTTATTACAAAAATAAGAACAGTAGTAAATATATATATATATGTGTTATGTATATTAACCTTCCTGGTCCTATCATTTGGTTTAGAAATAATTTGAATTAGCTTACCAACAGAAATATTTATAATAAAAAAAGAAAAAAAAAAAAAGTTTGATTTACTAAAAAATTCAAGACACATTACCGGAATATTCAACAGACAATTTTGCATCATCAGTAATGGTTATATAAGATGCACTATCAGTAGCATTCCAGTGTGCAGGTAAAGGAAGCGGAGTTAACTTTTTTTTATTATATTCTTCTATTGGACTATTCCGAAGATATTTTGGTATGAAATATTTTGATGTCATTTTTTTTTTACGCTATGGATTTATATTTTTTATGTTATGGATAAATGTATGTATGATAAATGATGATGATGATAAAAATTTAAGAAGAAAAAAACCAGATTTTTAAAAATTGAACGTTTTTTAATGTATGAATATTTCGTTTATATAACCTTAATTAAAGTTTTCTTGTATAACATTGTACGAATATAGTATCACTGGAAATCTTGTTCCGTAGTTAACAATCAGTCATTCTTTTTATTCTTCATTCTTGGAAAAAAAATACCGATTTAGACTACGCAGTTAATGTAATAAAAGGAAACTATTGTTAATCCTTTTATAATTTTTATTATTAATTAAAATTATCTTCCGTTTTCTTAAAATTCATTTAACATATCACGTCATTTAATTTCCAATATAGAAATATTCCAACATCGCGTAAAAAAATATTATATCTAACCTGATTTCTTGTCACAAAAATATTATTTTCCATTCCCCTACTAAACATCCAATAAAAATAAGAAGAACGAAAATCTACATCGTTAAATGCAGCATTGTTAAAAATAAAAATTCAACGAAGGATTAAAATTTGTTGTTGAATGTGTTACCATTATAATTTCATTTGTTGTATTTGTTGTTGATATTATCATATATTATCATATGAGCATGTATCACAAGATGTATTCTTTTACTTATTATCAATAAAAAATAATTTTGAAGCATGACTGTTTTCATTTTTTTCCTTTCCTGTCATCTTTAGTTAATGAAATTCAGATGAAATAATTTTTTTTTGTTTCTTATCATTTTCGTATTCTTGTCATCTGATTGAATACAAATATTATTTTGAGCTGGAACTAACACTATGAGGAAAAATAATAAGACGTCTCGTTACTTTTATTATCATTAACTTGAGAAGAAAATTGTTAAATCGTGAAAATCACGAATTTACCAATGACAAAGTGACATATTTTTATATTTTATTAAGTTATAAATTTACGTAAGCATTACTTATGTCTTTTTTCTAGAAGTCGTGTCTGGTGAAGTTAGCGTTGAACCACTAAAGAAAAAAGAAATCTACTTCTGAATCATATTCACCTTTTAATAAGATTCAATATGAGAAATATATTACACGTATTTAATTGCAATTACAATGAACATCAGACGTCGGAACACTGAAAGAGAGGTGAAATTTATACGCTAGAAACTATTGTAGTACCAACAAATAATTTTTTTTTGAATTCTTTTGACGTCTAGAAAATTCTGTGGTTATGTTACTATATGGGAACATTTTTAAATTCTTCGTTTTTTTTTTTTTTTTAAAAAAAAAAGAGGTCTTTCTTTCAAAGTCTTTTTTTTTTAACTTTATTATTTTTTTTTTAAAGTTGTTTTCTCTTTTTTTTTTTTTTTTAAAAAAAAAAAAATAAATTAAAAATAAATTAATATAATAATGACAAATTATTTATTGACCTTATTATCAAAAGATTATCAAAAACTTTTCGAGTCAGGGGAATTCGCTGATATAACCATTCAAGTTGGCGAAGAACTCAACAATACACAAGTTTTTAAAGCCCATTCAATAGTTTTATGTATTCGTTCATCATATTTTCGAACAGAAATTTTGAAAAGTGCTATGAATAACTTAAGTATTGATGGTATTAATATAATATTTAATCATTCAAATGTCTCTCCAGAAAATTTTGGAATACTTCTAAGGTAAATAATTATATAATTAATTAATTATTATTTTTTTTTATTGATAATTGTAATTGATTGATTGATAATTAAATTTATGATCGATAAATTATTTTATTTTTATTATTTTTTATTAGATATATTTATGGAGGAAATATAGAATTAACAAATTATGATATACCAGAAATTTTAAACATTTTAATGGTAGCAGATAAATTAGGTCTTACAGATTTATGTGATTATATTCAAGATCAACTTTTGGATTCTAAGAAAGAACTCTTAAAACAAAATTTCGTTTTTGTGAATAGGACATCTCTATCTTATGGCTTTGAAAAATTATCAACATTCTGCAATGAAGTTTTAAAACAAGAACCTAAAATTATTTTTCGTTCAAAGAGTTTTACATCATTTACTTCAGATGAACTTTTAAGTTATTATAATTATTTTAAAGAAGTCAAAGAAGCCAGTAATAGTTTTCAAATTGAACAAATTGAATTATGGGAAAGACTCAAAGAGTGGGGTATTTGTCAATTACCTAATTCGGAAATTTCAAAAGAGAATTTTCAGGTTTTAAAAGAGAAAGTTAAACCAATTATAAAATATATTGAATTTAAAGAGATTTCAGTTAAAGATTTTTCACAAAAAATTAGACCTTTTAGATATATTTTTGATGATGATTATTATATTCAAATTCTTGAATCTCACATTTTTCCTAACATTCAACCAGAAATTTCATCCTCATCATTATCACCATCATCACCATCATCATCATCATCATCATTATCATTAATACCACCACCACTATCACCAAAGTCACCATTACTTAATACATTAAATTTAAATCAATCATCACATCCATTAGAATCAATTGAACCCGAACCATTAGAAATGAATTCAGATTTAGTTACTTCAACATATTTTGAATTATTTACAAAATGGATTAATGAGATTAATTCCAAAAAAAATTCATTTAAATTCAATTTATTATTACGTGGATCTTATCATGGTTTTAACGCAAAAACATTTCATGATCTTTGTGATTATAAAGGTGCAACGATAACAATTGTTAAAGTAAAAAATAGTAATGAACTTATTGGTGGTTATAATCCTATTAATTGGTTTCGAGGTTGTCCACCTGGAGTTCACGAAAGAGCTAAAAATAGTTTTTTATTTTCTCTTGATCAAAATGATTTAAATAAGTCAATCCTTAGTAAAGTGGTTGACGAAAACAATGCTATCCATCAACATAAAGATTTTGGTCCATCTTTTGGTTTCGGAAGGAGTGATTTAAGATTATATGGTATGGGACTTAGTGACAAAAAGTTATGTGGTTGTAATAAAATGAGTTATGAAAGAAGGATTAGATCTTCGACATTAGAATTTGGTATAGAAGATTATGAAGTTTGGCAAGTAGTTAAAGAATAAAACTTATTTATATTTATAAATTGTAGTTATTGATTTAAATTATTATTTATTTATTTTATCATTTTTATATTTTTATATTTCTTGATAATTATTTAAATAATAATTATTAAATTTTATATTTCTTTGCTGATTATTCTTAAATAATAATAAATTAAAATTATATTTACATATATAATAATAATATAAATAATAGAATTAATTAATATAATAAATTAAATTATACAGTATTTACATATAATATAAATAATAGGGGGTTGGACAAGTTACGTCACGTATCCCGCAGTATGTCTTAATCTAATCTAATCTAATATATATATATATGGGAAGATATTATTTTAATTTTTGTGTGGGTTATAAATCTTCAGCATGTCATGGGGTAAAAGAAATATTAGTTTTTGAAAACAAAGGAAAGTTTATTTTCTCATTAAAAAATGAAATTCAATTCTTAGAAGAGTAAAAAAATATTTAGTATATTCTTATTCAAAATAAGATTGAAATTTTTATCTATAATAAAAAAAAAATCCGATGCAATGAAAACATATTCACCTCTATTGTTATCCAATAAAAATAGATGTAGTTGTTTCCAAATTAGACTTGTTATTAAACGTACATGTAATGCATGTCACATTTGTACAAAAAAAAACAATGTTACATATGATAATTAGGTTATTGTTGACAAAAAAGGGGGATGGCTGTTTCAATGTATATATAAAGTCGAAGTTTTATCAATTCCGAATTGTTTGAGTTATTAACTTCAAAAAAAGCTCAATTGTAATGGCTCGCATCTTTTTTTCTTCCACCGAAACCATAGAAAATTTTAATAGATTACCCTTAACTCGGAAAGAGATTGAGGATGCCTATTGGAAGCAATATGAGAGGGTTGTAGGTCTGCTTCTAAATCCCCCTTGTCCAATGCACATGTCGATTGAGGAATTGACGCAACCGTCTTCGAAATCAAGGCAAAGTACAAGATTTGCGAATAATTTGAGAAAACACCCACCAAGGCCGTTAAACCCATTCATTATGTTCCTTAAAAATTTCGATAAAGGTTACCGTAAATTTTTCAAAGGCGGATGTTCAAAAACTATATCTAAATTGACACAAGAAGAATGGGATAAAAGTGGCTCTGCCGTGCATAATCTCTTCAACGAACTAGCAGACCTAGCGAAAAAATATCATCAATATAAATTCCCTGATTACGAATACAAGCCAATTAAAAAAGAAAGACGTACTCAAATGCCAACCCCTACTTCAACTCCATCTTCAACAACTTTAACTTCACCTTCACCTTCTTTAACAACTTTAACTTCACCTTCACCTTCTTTAACAACTTTAACTTCACCTTCACCTTCTTTAACAACTTTAACTTCAC